CTACGACTCAACATTTTGGTGCTGTGGGCTTGGCTTGAAGCATTTAAACACTTCCAATAACCAAAGTAAGGTTTTCGCTCTAATCTCTAGTCCTTCCCCTCCTCCCCCAAGATTCATTGGTTGGTTTTTCTCTTCTCCCTTGAATCCAAACTTAGAATTGGAAATATGATATGATTGGCTTATTTTGGTTGTTGATTTATTCTTTTAAGAGTTAAACGAATGTTTCTATTGCTTCTAATGTGGATTTAAATGGTACAAAATTATAATTTTCCCCATTTGATCAAATCCAAGCTCTATAATACACTACAAAATAAAAATAGTGCATTAGTGACTGAATTTAGTTACCGAATAAATTTCCATCACTAATTTATTGTTAATTCTGTCATTAAATTAGCAACAAAATGTTCCATCACTAAAATTCTATCATTATTCTATCGCTAATTGATCAAAAATAATTTAACGATGGAATTTACTAACAAAAAATTCTTTCGCTAATTTTTTGAGATATTTTATTTCAATTTAGATATATGTGTGTGGTTAAATATTATATATTTAATTTATTAATTAAGATTGAATATTTCTTTTAGCTCAATTGATAATAAGGTAGACGCAAAGGCATTGGGGAGTGTAAGATTGCAAGTTTGTGTTTGGCCAAGGCACAATTAAAGGTCATAATATTTGACATGGCAGTGACAAATACTGTGGCGGTGATGTAATGATATTTTGATCAGCCTAAAAATTAGCAACATAATAATTCCATCAAAAAATTTACCATGAATTAGTGACAAAATGTATTCTATTGTAAAGTCGAAATAGCTTATCCTTATTTAGTGACAAAAATTTTCTATCAAAATGTAATTTTTTCACAAATTTCATTGCTAATTAGCGACGAATTGCAAATTTCTTCATTAACAAATTATTGATGGTGTTTTTACCAATAAAAATATTTCATTGTTAACCTATTTAACGATGAAATTTTCACTTATTAATGACAGAACAACTATTTGTTTTGTTTTGTTTTTTTTTTTGTGATGGGGGATTTCAATTTTGGGAATAGATTCTTGTTTGGAATTTTAAATCCTAACTATGGTTAACTTAGTTAAGTCTATTGGAACAAGAAATTTTTGTTGTTGATTTGAAGGTTTTTTGAATTTCTTTGGAATTTATATATGAATTAGATGAGATTTTTAGTCAGAACAAATGGGATGTTATATAAACAAGAAATTGATTTAGTTAGAAACGTTGGGTAACAAGAATGTTATGTTTAAAATTTTATTCGATTTGGAATTGATTTAGTTTATCCCTTTAAACTTGAGATTCTTAATCTAAGAAAGGCTTGTTTGGAGATAAATTGTAAAATTAGTTTAAATTGTTGAAATTGATGCAAGTATGAGTCTTTTGACATTGATTGGATAATGGGGTATCTATGAAACTTGGAAAAGATATAAATTTGGCCACTCAAGAATAGTTGACCTTTCTTTAGGTGAACATTAACTTTGATGGTTTGTTTGTTTGGGTTCTATAGACTTCAAATTGGCCTTTTACATATTCATACAAGCATTGCTTTTAGATTGTGGTGTGGTATTTGTTTGAGTTAAAGGGTTGAGATAACTAAGATTTAATTCTTATTATAACATGTGCTTATATATATAGTTTTCAAATGTTTGTGAGAGTTTCCATAAATAATTATCCAATATATAAACTCTGTTTTTGGCATCAAACTACATGGATATTGATTAAGTAATAATTTATTATATCCATATTATATGCTTATGCTTTGAAAAATGATGTTAGAAAAATATACTAATGTGGTACTATGGAGGGAAATGCAACTATATTGTTCTTCTTAATGAGGTTTAATATTTCAAAAGTTATGAGTTGAAGTTGTATGGATTTGAAAAATGATTAAGTAAACTAATTTGATCACATATGTTTATCTACACATGTATGTTTATACTAATAAATTGGTTTTTATACCTTACCTTGTGTGGAAGGAATATTTGTTAATAAGTCATATCATCTATGTTGCATATATATTTATGGATTTTATCTTTCTTGAAATGATGATCGTGAGTACATACATTATTATATTTTGAATTATTTATCATGGGATTATGATGTAATTATTGTGATTTGATATATATTTGTGATTCTTTATTACCACATGATAATTGTTAGGCCCTAAAGTCCCTATTCCTATGGTTGGAAAGGGTTATGGTTGTGGCATATATAGGAGCTATTATTTCATGTCTACTATCTTTGTCCTTGAAAAGAAAGAGAAAATAGGCAAAGCTATGCACCTAATTATGGTGGCTAGATTGTAGAAGGTAGATACAACTCCATAATCCCCCGGTAAAATTTTAAAACCTCTAGCCAAGGGCTATATAAGGTGAGTAGTTATAGGGGCACTCTCTAAATTATAGCTTTCGAGTTTTGGAAAGGAAAGTGTTAGATGGGAATGATTATTGTATTTATATTGATAATTGAAGTGATAAAATATTTTTGGAAATCATTTAGAGTAGCTATATTATTACTTTATGACTTAGAGATACCTATTTTTAAAAACTAATTTCAGTATATGGTATTTATGATATGCTTGTTTAAACTAAAATTTTTCCTTTATTAATGAGATTTTGTGTCTCATCCCTCATTCTAATATGTTTTAGGTGAGAGTTATAGCTCATTTTCTATGAAAAAAGTCAAGACTGGTTTGGCTTAGGTATATGGCCATCATTTCTTGGTATTTGTATTTATTGTATGCAGCCATATCTTTTACTATTGTATTTGGATATTAGAATTATGATACTCTTGTAATTCCCTTCTACCAAACATTACTAACTCATGTACACATATCATGCTAAGGTAATCAGAGCACCTTATAAGTCTGATCTACCAATTAACCATAGGTTATTACATTACAGGAATTTACTCAAAAAACAAGGATCCTAAGATTTAGTAACAAAATTCTTGAAGGTATATATATTATTCACAATGGAAGCATTCAGAAATGCATAACTACTATATTTAAGAAAAATAGCAAAATAATAGTCTTCACCTAAATAGGATAATGCACCATGGTTTGTACCACATTCTTTGCAGCATGTGGTACAAAACCACTATATCTCACACTATGTCATGCAATGCGGCATGTCACTATGCACTATGGCGCATGTATCAAATTTTGCTATTAAGATAGCTTTGTTGATACGAACTCCTACTGTGCGCTATTTTCACATCCAACGTTCGATTAGGGTGATTCAAGTTTCACATGTTACTTATTTGATAATCTAACTAATGGCACATGTTTCATCTCAACACTTGGATGCAAAATGATCACTTTATGTCATTTTTCCGTACCTAAGTGTCTTAAACCCAAACCTTATGTCATTGGCCATTTTTAAGAATTTGACCACATCTAATGGGACACTGTACACCTAATTGACCACAAACCTCATCAATGATGATAATGCATATGATTTTAGCCAATTAATTGCCCTTTCACATAATAAGACCTTTTTGCACATTTGTAGACATAAACATACTCACTTGGCCAATAGATCACTATAAACATTCAAAAGATATAATTAAGCACTTGCACAAATATCTTAGCCCTCTTGACCTCAATTTGCATGTAATTTCACACATATTTGAATTTGGCCATAAATATGCCTTTTACATTCACACAAAGCTATTTTCCACACATTTCACACATTTTCATATCTCAAGACTAAGATTGCATGCACAAGTGCATTAACCATTACAATACATGCATGCATTCCTATGGCAACTTATAAATATAATATATAGGTATATGTTATTATTTCATTACACAATAATCCAGGGCATTCTTAGTCTCACTACTCCTAGCTCAGTTCCTTTCCCTTGTTGCTTTCATTCTCAAGCCTTGTAAAATTTAAACCATGGGGTGAGATAAAAATATCAGTAACCAAAATAATTCAAAGCTATTTATTAAAGAGAATTACTATAAATAAGTAATTAATTTTATTTTCAATTCTCAAGGTGTAAGTATAAATGTATATATGTTCATTTTTCACCAAATTATTTTCTCACACATATGATCTACTTAAGTTCATCCATCCTTTGAACTTTCTCGAACCCAACCTTCTGTAGGTGAACTACCAAGCCAAGGTATTCAATCCTACTTGAGGACTATGAATTCCATCTTCACACATGCTAAGGGTATCGTTAACTCTTAACCACACCCTTATGCGTATTAGGGAGTTGTCAGATTACTCAGATTTTTTATGGTATGGTACCTTAATATGCTGCACCATGGGTCACCTAGTATCAACTAATCTATATGGATTGTTTTCACACTTATATCTTCAATACAGGTAAACTCCCACCCTTCTAATGCAAGTGAATGAAAAATATATGCATCTTTAAATTTTTACATATATGTCAATAGTTTACTATAAAATCCTCTTTCACAAATAATTCATCTTTTTAAATAAATCCCTTTTTAAACTGAAAATTACACGAGCTAAAAATCATGCCAATATTTACAAAATTGCACACATGATACTAATATAATTACTTATAAACAGTTAATTTAACTAACAGACAGAATGAATTATCTAGTTACTTCAAACCTTCTATTACTAAAAAGGGTTACTTGTGGTACTCTTCGCTCTGTTAGCCTCCTCTCGTGCAATTTACACATAACTTGTCTCAATCTACACAATTTAGCACTATAAGTCAATTATTAAATTGACCCAAAAGTACTTATATCTATAATTAATTGCAATCAATGTAATGACCCAAAATTTTAAAATTAAATAAATTTTCTTCTAATTAATATTTAATTTATTTATCATAATTTTAAGACAAGTGAGGAATAGTAGTTTACCGAAATTGATACTGGGTATTTATATAGAGATTTAGAGTTTGAATCTTACTTAAGCTAAATGTTAGTTTATTTTCTTTTATTGGGAGAAAGTGCAAAAATGCCTTTGTTTTTTTTAATATAATATTAATAATATATAACAAAAAAATCTTAGGGGCCTTCATTTGTAATTTTCCCATCAACTCTCATATATTATTTTTGTTTTCCCTCTTTGTCGGTGAGCTACAGACCAGAGGAGAGAGACTTCAACTTTTCTAGAAATTTCGACCATCCCAACTCTTCACTCCACCGTCCAGCTCATCATCGGTGATGTGGGTCACTAGTGATATTCTCCTTCCCTTCTGTTCTTCGCTCCTTCTCCTCTGTTCGTTTCTCTGTCGTGGGTGTTATCGGAACTTTCCTTTCGTCTGAGAGCAAGAGAGATTCATTGCTCAGAAGCTTCAAGTCATTCGATCCAGCACCTCTGTCCTTTTGCTATTCAACATGCTATTGATGAGAATAGGAGTTCCGCTTACTGTCGCTGAGATGTCCGCCCAGAACCACAGCGTTGTGGTGCAAACCGTGAGTTCTTCCCTCCCCTGTTCTGTGTTGAATTTCATCTTTTTCTTTCCTTGATCTGTGCTTGTCGTGAATCTCCATTTTTGAGCATGGTTGTCGAAAATTTTCTCCTTCCCTGTATTATCGCTGTTCTCACTGGTTCGGTGTGGCTGTGGGCACTATTGTTGGTTCATGATTTTCCACCTTCGTTGTTTTTGTTGGTTTCTTCTTTTTATACCATTTCTGTCGTGGTTGAATCTGGGCAACAGCTTAGAATTTTTCCCTTCGTTGAATCCCCTGTGTGCGTGTGTTTTTATGGGTGATGTTGTAATTTGTTCCTCCCTGCTGATTCTGTGTGTGTGTGAGAGAATGATTGGTGCAAATTTATATTTATTTTCTGTTCAATGTGCTGTGCGAATTTATTTGGAGGCAGTCACAGTGCGATTAAGCAAGCTAGAATTTTGTTCATGGAAGAAGAGAAAGTAGCATGGGCTTGCATTGTATTTAAATCATATTAATCTTGTGGAGGGAATAAACTTTGGATGCTTGAATAAGTTATGTATTGATGCTGTACAAATGTTGAAGGAATTGTGGGATCGGATACGAAGGAAGAACTTAGTATTAAAATTTGAATATTGGTGCCTATAAGGTATTGGATAAAAGTTTGTTAGGGGAAGTCTTGATTGTTCATGATTTTTTTTTTCCTTAAATGTCAATAATTCTCATAAAGCATAGTTGGTTCGGATGCTAATTACTTGTGAGTTTAATTTGAGTGTTACAAGAGATTTTGTCAATTATAAAGCTAATGTGTTATTAGTTGAATTCTTGAGAGCCGTATAATTGGACAGAGAAGTGAGCATGTAAAGTATTGAATGGATTGAAAAAAAAAATAATAATAATAAATAAATAAATTGAGGTTTGGTTTTCTTTGAGTCTAACTTGATTGTTAATGAGGAATTGAGTTATTGGGAAGCGGCATAAATTCTAGAGTTGGTGATTGGAAGTATTTGAACAAGAGATGATATTTCAATCTATTGAGATAACCAAGTGGGATGAAGGTATCATGGATTACATGACAATACGAGAGATAGTTATTTTCTATACTAAAGCTAGGAAAATCATCAAGGAATTTGCCTAAAAGCACATGTTAGGTTTGAAAAATAAAAATAAAAAAATAAAAATAAGGATGTAGATTTTAAATGACTGGTGGCTTAAGGATAAGTGAAACTTTATTATGCATTAGGCAAGACATTAGGTTGTTGAATAATTGATGTAGTTTTATCTATTTGGGTTATTGTTAAAGAAATTTATTGTTATTTTTGTTTAGGTAATAGAGTAGTTAAAGGACAATTGAGAGGTTTATGAGGCACAAGCTATTATTTTGGGTGTTTAACAGGTAAGTGGATAGCGTCCCAACTGATATTCCAATAAAATTTTTACTGAAATATTACATTTCTATACAAATCCTTTTTTCAGCAACAATGTGATTATTGGATATTTTATTGATTAAAGTATTTTATTTTTGTAAAGATACCAGATTTGATAATTTTATTTTATCAGTAAATACAAGTTTGGATTTTAATTATGGGATTTTCATTCTGGAAATTATTGAATTGATATAGAGAATGATTCTTACGAGTTCGACTTTGAAATTTTTGATTATTCAATAAATGCAAGCATGAGCATTGGATATGAAATTTGAGTTTGGCAAGTTTTAATGTTTAAAAGTATTCATGCGAGTTTGATTTTGAAAATGAGAACTGTATCTTGAAAGTGATGATTTTCTCGCATGTTTGAAAGTGATTTTAAAAAGGGACTTTGTACAGAACACTGATTGCTAACGGTAGTTCCGTTAGCCCTTGGCGCGCCATGGCACACCTAGCTAGCAGGGTGTTTATAGGAGGTGCTAGCCCCGTGCGATGGCCAACGCACGTGGAAAGGAGGGATGGTTATTCGTGAGCATCGTACTCACATTTGTTTTCGTGGCATAAGCCGCGTTTGGTTACTTACCCTCGTGGATTGTGTGTCCACGTTTGTTTCGTGGCTTCGGCCGCGTTTGGTTATCTACCCTCATGGATTGTGTGTCCACGTTTGTTTTCGTGGCATAAGCCGCGTTTGGTGATTTATCTTCGTGGACTGTGTGTCCACGTTTGTTATTTGTTCTGATAAGTCCCTATAATTATGAGTTTATAATTATTTTATGCAATTATTTGCTTTATTGAAAGTACATGATAATGACGTTTGATATGATATTTTAATGAATCAGCAATTTATTTAAAGTTACATAAAGTCCTTTTTGACGAAGTTTATTATATATTTGTTTGCGCAAAATTTTTATTTCTAACATACATAATTATATTAAACTTCTTTTTTATACATATTTAACTTACATATCTATTTTGAACCTTTCATTTTACTTATGTTCTATTATTTATTGTTGGGACGTTATTCACTGGAAAATATATTTTGGTCTCAGGTAGTATAAGTTGAGCTTATATATCAAGGTGTTACTTGAGGCATTTTATCACTAAAGTGGAGTGGAAGAATTATTTCAAACAAGTTTTGCTTGATGAAAATTTGAACCCTGTATTAATTTCATGGCCTGGTCCTAACTGCTCCACGTATAATGTAGGTAGGATTCTCATCTTTCTTTAAAGACTGTATATATTTTAGTAGGGAGCGAGATCCTTTTATTTAATTATTATTATTCCTTGTCATACATTTAGGAAGTCTTGTTTATATGAAAGTTCTCTTAAGAATTTTATAAAAAAAATAAAAATAAAAATATGCCTATAGTTTTGCATGGACCAGAGTATATTTGTTCAAGGCTTAAGGGATATGGGTTTTATACACATATTCCGTGCTGGTCACGCCTTAAATTTTTGGGGCGTGTGATAGAACACATTTGTTACCCACTTTTATTTGTCAATTAGGACCATTTTATTAATGATTTATCACCTTCAAGTGCACACATTGCATTAGATTTAGAACTTTGCCTAAGTTTCTAAGATCAGTGCATTAGGGGCATTTTGGTCCAAAAAATGAACTTTTGAGAAAATGTACAAGAAAAATTGACAAAGTGCATTTTATGTCCAGTTGATGAATGGTGAAATTATATTTTTAAAATTCATTTTAGTTTGGGAGTAATTAAATAAAAAAGTCAACACTTTCTTAAGTATCTTAGTTTGTCCTAGTTTTTGGTTTGCCTTTGTGTGGAAATTTTTGTATAATTTTGTGCAGCCTGAAACTTGGTTAATTTAATAAATTCTCCCTTCTAATTATGAATTTAATTCTGGACATGAATTAGATTTTATTATATCATATGCTATTTAATTGAATCATGTGATTTATGTGACATAGGTGGCATGTGACTTGTGCATCAATTGGGCAATTGAGGTCAACACTCCTTGAGGTCAATGGCTGATGGTTTGCACGTGAATTATGATTATTTTGAGGGGTTAGATCAGCTAAAATGATGTGGATGACACATGGGAAATTAGGCACACATTGGAATCATCTACAAACCAATAGGAAGTTGCTACCTTGCAAGTGTGACAAGGCTCCCATTTACATTTTAATTTCTTTTTCCTTATTTTAATTAAGCTTCAGCTGATGGGAGACACCAAGGAGCACGCCATTTTAAGTCCCAAATGGGATCCAACACATATCTCATTCATCTTCCACATTCTCTCTCTCTTGTTCATAGTGTTCTTCATTTTCTCTCTTTTGTTCTTCATTTTCCAGCACCCTAACCTCCATTTTCAGCCACCAAACCTCCACAAAACTCATACCATTCTTCTCCTCTCTTCATTTTCGTTCCATCCCTTCCATTTTCACAAGGATTGAAGCTCATTTTCATCATTCAAGAGCTATGGAGTTTGGCCTTCACAAGCAATCACTAGGGTTCTTGAAGATGAAGATTGGCTAAGTTTCTTTGTGGAATCCTAGAGAGATGAAGATGGAGGATGAGTCTTGAGCTTCAAATTGGCTAAGTTCTTTTGTTTCCTATCCTCTTCTCTTTTTACTAGATGGTTAGATTCCTTAATCTAGGGTTTAATCATCTTAGCTTATAAATTCTAATTTGAATTTGATGTTGATGTAAAGAGAGAGGATTGTTTCATTTAATTTCTTCCTTGGACAGCCATGACTGAATTTTTCCACTCTTTGTTTGGCACATAATCTTGTGTTTTTCAATTAGTGAATTTCTTGTGTTAATATTGCATAATCTTGTGGTGTTAATGCTTGTGTTGTTGAGTAGCTTGACATAATCTTGTGGTTGCTCAATTTATGTGTTTGACCATGGCTGTTGAGAGAGGATTTTGAGTGAATCACTTGGCTAATGTCTTCACCAATTGGTTAATTGAACTAGGGACTTTAATCTAAGACCTAGGGAGGTTAGCTAATTAGGTTAATTGGCTTAGGATAATTTTTTTAAGTCATGACAGCTTTAGTCAAGAGGAAAGGGAAGCTAAACTTAGCCTAATCATGAGAAGATAATGAGTCCAAAATCAACTAATCTCTAGGGTTCCATTATTGTAAAAAGGGAAGTTCATTTCACTCACTTTCACTAGCATTTTAATTACTTGCATATTAGGTAATTAGTTTAGATAATTAGCTAGATAACTAAATTCCTACAAACTTTGGTTGATTTATTTCACTAGATAACTTTCAATTAGACTTAAAACCATTCCTTGGGAGATGACCTAGGGTTGGCCCTATATTGCATTAGGGTTAGCTTTAGTGTAATTTTGAGGATAAGCGACTAATTTCCTATCAAAATTTTGGCGCCGTTGCCGGGGAATGGTTTAAGTTTAATTCTAAGGTTGTTTAGTACTTAATTTATATTTTTAGTGTTCCTGAAAATTTTTTTGAAAAATTATAAAAATTTGTGTTTTGTGTTTTGTTTAGTGTTTTTTGTGTGTTTTGAGTGTTTTTATTCTGTTTTGAAAAAGAAAAAAAAATTAATGCAATTTTCGTTGGTTTGGTGTAGAGCTGAAAATACTCTGTTTCTAGTGTCTCTGTCTGAAATTAAAAATTAACTGGGAATGAGTCTGAGGGAATTTGAACTTGAAATTTATTTCATTGAAAGCTCTATATCCTAGCTTCACTTTAAAATTGGTTTGGTCAATTTTGGACGTGGGAAGTGTCCTGTGGAAATTTTACAATCTAACAAGGTCCAGGGAGCCATTACAGAGGATTTCCAAAACCCTGTTTCAATTTTGAGTTAGCATATCTTCCTCTTTGTGCGTTCAAATTGATTGATTCTAGTTTCATTTTTCTTATCGCTGTCTTATCTTTGTTTCTTGTGTTTAGGATTTTCTTCAATTTTTCCATTTTCCTATTTGAAAGTTTGTTAGAAGCTCTGAAGGTCTTCTGGACGAAATCCTGTTTCTCCAGACTTGAGGACCAATTGTGAAAAATTCTGGGAACGATTGGGCAGGATTTTTAATCTAAAAGTTTTATATAATTTTCCTGTATATCTCTTGTGTTTCTCATAAAAGTTTCAGGGGAATTTATCATGTGGATTTGCTGATAGAAAATTCACAAGTTCACTGTCTCCAGAGAGCCTACTGTGCGAATTCCAGAATTGCCAAAGCTTCTTGATTGAGCATTTCTAACTCTCTTTCTACTTGTTTGGTGTTATTTTTTTTTTCATTTTGTTGCTATTGAGTTTAATAAAAAAAATAAAAAAAAATTATTTCTCTTGCTTTTGTGTGTTTTGAATTGTTTCATGTTGATTTGCATTTTAGTTTAGCTTGTTCTTTGTTCTTAATTTTCTTGAGCTTGATTAGTGCATGACCCGAAGAAAACATACCTCTTTTGTTGAATTAGATCCAGAAATTGAAAGGACTATTTCTAGATTGAGAAGATCACAACCTATTCTTGATTCTCATTTGGTTTGTAATTCAACAATGGAAGGTATCTTAGGACATGAGCATGTGCATAATGAGGGCCATGGGAATGGGAATGAGAATTTGCATGATGATGGCCATGTTAATAATGAATTTGAAGGCTTGCATAACCCTAGAGAGGAGAGGAGCATTAGGCAATTAACTCAACCTAATTGGCATGATAATCCTTATGGCTTATATGTTCCTCCTACTAATGTTCAATTTGAAATTAAATCCTCCTTGATTAATGCATTGCCTAAATTTCATGGGTTACCAGGAGAGGATTGTCATAGGTTTTTGCATACTTTCCTATTGGTTTGTGATACTATGAAGCCTATGCATGTAAATGTTGATGATGTTCAAGCTAAGGCTTTTGTATTTTCTCTTGAAGGTTTAGCAAAGGAATGGTATTTCAACTACCCTTCTTATGTGAAAGTGAGCACATGGGCTGAGCTAAGAAGACTCTTCTTAGATAAATTCTTTCCAAATTCCAAGGTCACCAATTTGAGAAAGCAAATCTATGGGGTCCAACAAGGAGAGGATGAGAGTCTCTATGAGTATTGGACTAGATTCCAAGGCCTTTTGGCTAAATGCCCACACCATCAAATTTCTAGTGAGAATTTAGTCCAATATTTCTATGAGGGCTTGATTCCAAGAGACAAAGTTAACATTGATGCCGCTAGTGGTGGATGCTTGATTGACCTCACTTCCTTAAAGGCTTGGGAACTAATTGACAAGATGGCTTCAAGTGGTGCTCAATACTCTACAAGGGAAAAGAGAAATGTGAATATGGTAGGTTCCTCAGTTCTTAATGATTCATATGTGGACTTGCTAGCTGCCAAGATTGGGAGAATGTTGGCTCCACAAATATCTCAAGTGAGCAATGTAAGTACTTCTCAAGCACTTGTCCCTTATTCTTGTACTTTTTGTGACTCACCTATGCATGTAGAAAGCAATTGTCCTATTAAGTTTGAACAAGTAAATGCTATCTACAATGGAAAACAATCCTATGGTGGGAGGCAAGGGCAAGGAGCTTATTCTAATACTTACAACCCTTCATGGAGAGACCATCCTAATTTCTCCTATTCAAATCCAAATGTGGCTTTACAAGACAATCAACAAAGAGGATCCTATCAAAACACCTTTGGCCGTGACCCTCCACCTCATTTGTCTCAAGGTAGCTCTTCTCAAAGCTACAATCCAAGTGGTAATTCTCTTACACCTTCTTCTAATTCTTATAGTGATAGGAGGCTTGTTCCAATTGAGAGTTCTTCTAATTCGAACTCTTCTAATGATGTGAATGTGTTACGTAAGCAGTTGATTGAAATGAACTCTTTGTATAAAAACATGTATGATGGCTTAGGGAACAAGGTAGAGAGTATGGGTAACAAGTGTGAGAACATGAACTCTAAAATTGATGCCCTTACTTCTCAAATGAATATGCTTGCTAACCAATTAAGTGCAGCCAATGCTCAAGCCTCTACATTACCATCCAACACCGTTGCTAATCCTAAAGCTAATCTTAATGCTATCACATTGAGGAGTGGCAAGGAGTTGGGAGAAAGAGTACAAGAAGACAAAAGACAAGGGAAGGCCGAGAAGCCCTCTTTAAATTCTTCAATTGATGTTAATGTTTCTAGTTCTTCTTTTGCTCCTAATGATGCATCTTTTTGTAGAGATGATGAGGATGAAAACATTGAGGAGATCATATGTGAGCAACCACCATCTAAGGTGGAAAAGGGGACTATGGCCGAGTTGTTTAGTAAGGAAAAAGAGGGAGAGGCCGAGCAAAGTGAAACAAGAAAGGAGAGTTCAAGGAAGGAAGAAGGAAAGCAAAGTCAAGAGATTATGAAGAAGCTTCCTTTTCCACAAGCACAAGTGGTCCCTAAGCAAGTAAAGGGACAATTTGATCAAGAGGTATATGATTTCTTCCACAAGATTCATGTTAATGTACCCTTGATGGATGTAGTTAAGAACTTTCCTAAGTATGCCAAA